TGAGTGGTAATGGCTAAAAGCAAATCATGGTTTAAGGATTTAAAGAGAAGGTTGAGTTTTGGAAAAGGTGAGAACAAAATTGTGAACTTTCTCATTCTTGTTATGTCCCATGTGAAAGAATATCATAAAATCAATGTTACATGAAAGAATTTCTTATGAAATGCCCTTATATTTTAAATAAAATTAAATGAATAGTTTTAGCTTTAGGAATAAATTTCAATGCCACATGCATGTGTATGTAGTCCAGTAGATACCCTTTTCTGTGTCCAGTTCTTTTTACTGTTTGTGATTTTTCCTGCAAGATTGCATCATTATACTTCACAGTAAACAATTCATAATGTACTACATAATCAACCTCTCCAGTACTAGTTTCTTTCACAATGCAATCACAGCACCAAAACTTTATCTTTAAGTGACTTTACAAATCAGAATGCACACACAATTATAGACGTTTGCAGAATGGATTTGACATTTCATGAAACAACATTTGAACGGACATGTAAATAGATTTGAAAGCAAATTATCTTTCCTGGATTTTGGTGTGGCAATGTTGAATGTCAACAGACTGTGGGGGAGTATGGGACCACTCAAAATCTTCACATGAAATTCCAATATTGATTGTAAAAACATCTTTGAGTACATCTCTCTATTGTTTGGCAATGTAATAAGCATTTGAAGATGCTTGAATTGCTGAAGGGGTGGTAGTTAGTACAAATGAGAGAATGCTGTTTGTGTTAGAACCTTGAAGAAAACTCTAGAAAACTGACATTAGAATAAATGTGATTCCTTCCTAGAAATGCACATTCTCTTGGACATTATATTTAGATCATCACATCTACATTGATAACAAATTGTATGAGTTTTGTTGGTTGAACTTATTTGATAGAAAACAGTGGACTGATTTGCGAGAGATAATTTGAGATAATTTAACTAATTTATCATTTCAGAACATACCTATGTATCTCTATTTTTAGGAGCTACATTATCGAAATTAATTATTAAATGAAGACATTTCCTTCTTTCATTCCTTGTTATGATTATCTACCAAAATTTTGGGGTATTCTTCAATTCAATAGGAAAAATGTGATTATCTCATTCTGAGAATTTGAAACTATTTTTACAAAATGTAGGACATGGATAATGTTGAAAATCTGTTATTACGCCCATTATTTATGATATGATTCATTCGCAAGGGAAATGATTAATGAGATCTTGATAGACAAACACACAGGCTTTGGCACCAAGTCTGTTGACTTTATTGACTGTGCACACTGTTTTCACTAGGTATGTGGCACGCAAACATTCAAGTGCATTTGGCATATCCTGTTTCAGTGTTTGATAAATGGGATTATATCTTTGCTGTATCAAAGGTCTTTTATTTTTAGTTTTCATATCAAAAATAGAATTCTAAGAGTTTCAAAATGAAAGTATGAAGGAAGTATACTAAATTAGCTATGTATCATACAAATGGGGAATGCATCTTTATTTGAATACATTATATTTCACAAATATGATTCAATTATGTCCCAAATATAATGAAAATAATTGAACAAAAGTAGGTGTTAGATTCTGTTTACAGCATTAAGTTAAGGCACTGTAACTATTACTTTTTTTCCTTCTTCATATGATTACACTAATATTAAAGGTATCTGTTTTAGTATCTGTAATTAACAAAGGTTTTAAATAATCAGTTGATAATTATTTTTCTTAACTGCATACATGTATATTACCACACAATATTTCTTTACTTGGCATTTAAAGTACATTATTAATAATGATATCACAAAGGTTATTCTCCCTCAATCTATCGGCTAATACACAAGTACCGAAGGCATAGATAAAAGGCTAGGTTTTGTCGACCATGACTTTGTTTTGCCCTTTCCCCCATGGGTAGGCAGCTGTTCACCGTGTTATGAAGCGAAGCATGAGAGTTCAGACAGGCCGACTTCGGACTCGCAATCTGGACCGCGGAAATAACATTGCGCTCGTCAATTTGGAATATATGAACATGAACTCTCGTGGACCTCCAGAATAACATTGCGCTCATCAGTTGGGGATAGATGTTCATGTACTCAATTAGAAGTATATGTACCGTATATGAACTCAATTTTTAGAGTATGTGATGGGGAGGGAGGAGAAAGGGGCAGAGAAAAAAAAAATGACATTTTGGAGTGGATAAGAGATGTGGGGTGATAATTGATGGGTGGAAGAATAGAGAAAATGAATATAAATAAATATAAAAATATTTAGAAATAAAAACACTGGAGGGAATATTTGGAAAGGGCACAGGGAGGGGGGAAGAAATGAAAGAAGAAAGAAAGAGAGAGAGAGAGAGAGAAAGAAAGAAAGAAAGAAGAAAGAAAGAGAGAGAGAGAGAGAGAGAGAGAGAGAAAGAAAGAAAGAAAGAAAGAAAGAAAGAAAAGTAAAGTAAGTTTGACCTAATTTACAATGTTATTGTTAACTGAACAAAAAAACACTGCAAGAGTCATATGGAATGACGAAGGTTTAAACAAAACAACAACAAAATCTTTCAAATATGTACTTTCAGTTCTTCTCATTACTCATTATTTCATATCCTGTAAAGAAATGGCAAGACTCAGACACTCAAGTGTACATATCATTTGCATGTTTAGCATTCCTGAGATGACCTACATAGTTTTGAGGTCCCTTCTGTCAACAATTGTTACAGTGTTAATGATGTCAACAAGGAGAACACAGAAGCTGAACTTGATCGTCAGTCTTGAGCAACTCGCTTGGTGGAAGGAAAAGATGAAGGAAGTTGTTCATTGCTTCATTTCTGGAAATTATATTTGTTAGTCATAATTGTGTTCATCATGTGGTGATGATGACAATGGAAGTTAAGAGTGGCACCTTCCACAGAGCTATCGAGAGATAGTCTTAGGAATATCCTTTGTGGTAGCACTTATTTTGCCTGCTATTCCTTCCTGAGATGATTACATGCAATGTTTCATTTCATGGAGACATGGATTTAGGTGATTTTTGTCAAAAGTGCACAGAATAAAATCAATCCTATCCTTTAGTGCCTAAAGATGACCTCATAATCTTTTCAGAATTTTCAGGATTTCGAGTAGGTGTGTTTTCCTCCTTTTTTGTTTACTTTTTTGTTTACTTGATACACTCTTTTAATCTTCAGGTTGATGCAAAACAAAAAGTGGATCATCAGAATAATAGGATTCATCATAGCTTGATAATAGATGAATTTTTTGGACTGTGAAGAGTAATGAAGGGTTTTAAAGTTCAAATGTTTACTATTTAGTTGAATATTGAGAGCTGAGGGCACTTTAAAAAGCAATTCAGGATTAAAAGAAGAGAAAGTCTTTCAGGGGAAGAGGGATGGACATAGAGGGAGAAACAGAGAGAGAGGAACAGACTTGAACACACATGTATACAAACAAACATACCCAACATACAGAAATAGAATGACAACACTCTTAGGCTGAAATTTGAGAGCAAATAGAGAGCGAGTGGAAGATCTCCTGAGATTCACAAGAAGGCAATAAAGAGCTGGGGAAGAAAATACCTGGAAATTGTGCTTCCTGAGAATGTGAGAAAGGCAATCACTTCTAGTTAGATCCTGCAATAAAAAAAGCACTTTGAGAGAGAGAGAGAGAGAATTGGGATTCACACATGCACACCCCAAATCCCCATAGCCAATAAAAAAATGCTCTCCTTGAAAATAGGATTTGTTGAATCTACCCAAGATTTGTTGTTGTGTTCTGATCAATCAAGAGGATGCGCAGTCGCTGAAAGAACACATTTTCTGTTGAGACTCGGAAGGGTGTTAACTCAATTTAATGTCCTTCTGGCTTTCGGAGAATAAGAGAAAAAAAAAATGTAACAAACATCTGTTTTTAAAAAAATTCATGAGAGGGGCTTTTCACAAAACTTGTCATCAGTGACAAATTACAGTTTTTGTTATAAGCTACTCAAATCCTTGCTTCTGATTGGTTATCAGCAGATCTGTCACTGATTTTTGTCATTTGTCATTGAAAAGAGGCTTTGTGAAACAGGCCCCACTGGTTCGCTAAGCATATTCTGCCTGCAAGAAGGCTGTAAGAGATGTGTATTATCAATTGCAGTAACGCCATTCTTGCAGGCAGCCATGGAATCGTGTTGTCCCAGGAGAGCCAGAAGGGCATTACCTCTATGACACATGCAGGAGTTAACACCCTTCTGGTTCTCAGGGGTTGATATATAGTGAAACCTGTATATAAAGGCCACTCAAGGGAGACGAGAAAAGTGGTTTTTGTGTACAGGTTCCTTCAGTATATGTTCCAATGAGGCACCATTTTCAAGGGAAACAAAAAATGTGGTCTTTATAGACAGGTGGTATTTCTATACAGGTTGTGACTAAAGCTAGTTTGTTGTATATGTATATGTGTGTGAAGGGTTTCAGCCTAGTTTTTACACATCCAAAGTAGATGTGAAGCTGTTTTTTTCTCTTGTTAATGCCAGGCTGTTTGAGTGAGAGGCAAGGACTTGCTGAGATTTTTTTCTTCAAAATGGAGATTTACTGTCTTGAGGGCTCTCCTTGGTTGTTATGCTTTGCCTCTGGCAACATTTAATTGCAGAGCTGTGATGTTTGCCTCATGATTTACATGGTATTTATGGAAATCAGGACAGATTGGAGTGGAAATAGAATATTTATGAGGTTGGAACTAGAAAAAAAGGAAAAATGATGTGCAACTTGGAAGCTTTCTTGTTTCAGAAGGAACTCATACTTAAAGAGTAACACCAAACATGATTTTTTTTTCCCCACCGCTCCACAGCTGGTAATATCATGAGTCTTTTGTGGGTTTATTGCCGAGCAAGTCTATGTTATATAACGCAAAGTTTTGAGCTACACTTATTACATGTTTCTAGAAATAAAAAAAGAAGGTGTCTTGTAAATCAAGTAGATAACAGATGAAGAAATAAACATGTCAAGTTACTTTTGATCATTAACAGTTTGTTTTGTTCTCTATTTTTTGTCTTTCCAGCATGTCCAGAATGTATCCAGCTCATCTGGAGGATACATGTCTCTGCAAGCAAACACCGGGCTTTCATCGTCCATGGATGACTACGACATCCCTCCTGTTCGGAAACAACCCCCCAACGCCACCACTTCCCTGGCATCACCCCATCAGAAACAAGGCTTGCACACATCACCGATGCAAGGCTTGCACACATCACCGATACAAGGCTTGCACACATCACCGACACACCACGGACGAACAACGCCACCAGGACATGAACTCTATGACACGCCTCCAAGCGTGCAGAGAATCTCCCCGAGTGAAACCTACGATGTGCCACCTCGTGCGTTTGGAAGCGGGGAATCACTGAATTCGAAGAGTGGACAGAGCTCTCCGAAGCAGGAGAATGTCGATGAGATTTATGACACGCCCCCATGCAAGCGGGATATGTCCGGTCAGAAAAGTTTTCCCCAGGATGTGTACGATGTCCCGCCGTCATTGCAAAAGGCGAAGGACGAGAAGTCGCCATCTATGAGCACGCTTTCTATGAGCACGCTAGACTCTGTTGATACATATGACATACCACCTTCCCAGCAAGGTGACAATGATGTGTATGATTTTATTCCTCCGCTTAAAGGCGGCCCGGTGTCGCCACCTCCCGTAGAGCTCTATGATACTCTGCCACAAAGAACTCCAACACCGCAACAACGGGTGTATGAAACACAACTGCAAAAGGACACTGGTGATTTGTATGATGTGCCTCCGAGTAAGCAAGTTCAGCCTGATGAATTGTACGATACACCCGCAAGGCATGGACACGAGCTTTATGATGCGCCTCCTACTGCACGTGGTCTAAGGCCACAGCCTGGTAGCACGCAGAGACGCATTTCTGATCACGTTTATGACATTCCTCCAACAGTAACGCAGGACAGGCCAGTAGTAGGGCCCGTCGCGCTGTCGCAGCATCACCATTCAGCGGATGACATCACAGACGGAGTTGGTAAATTGTCTCTCCCGCAATTATCGAAATCAGCAGACTGTATAGATGAAACTCTTGGGAGGAGACTAAATCTTGATCGCGATGCTGCCATGGACTTGCTTATAAAGCGGCAGCAAGCACTTGATTCAGCTGTAGCGTACATGCTTAGTTATGTCAGTAGCACGTGGAGGCACCAGAACAATCTGCAGCCGCATATTCACGAAATCAGAGCGGCATGCAATCAGCTCAAGTTAGCATCCAAAGAGTTCATGGAATTCTGCGATGGTGTGTTGGTAAACGCCCTCTATGTTTCGGATCATAATCTTCATGAACAACTGAGCAAACAGTATAAGCCCATTCAGGATGAACATCAGGTCATGGCCAAAGCGTCAGCGTTGCTAGATGAATGCAACTGGGATGTGAACACGCTCATGCACAAGACTAGCTCAATTCCCAGCAGCAATGAGCTGGACACTTTTGCAGCTACTGCCAGGAGTCTTCCAGATGATGTGAAAAGGTTTGTGGTGTTTGTCCAGGGTAACTCATCCCTGCTCTTCAAAAGGGCAGGAATCATCCAGAACAGACCCTTGCCAACACCACCTCCCAACTCCGCTGGATTGTCCAGCAACTGGATGGCTGCAGAGAAGGAGACCCTGGTGACCACCGCGCCGATCCAAGCCACCAGGGAAACCATCCGCAGCAGGCCGCTACCGTTGGTGCCCAGCGTCGCAGTGGCCCCTCAGCAGCAGATCCACGCCCAGACTAATGGAAACCACATCATGCCTGAAAACGGCAAGATGCCGGAGTACGGATACGTCCAGAAGCCACAGTCCATCAACAACAGGCAGATCATCATCACAACAGATCAACCTCCAATGTCTCCTCCCCTCTCTCCAGGAGATCAACAGCTCCTCACGTTCTATTACACAGAGGTGGAGACACTCTTCACTGCCTTGCACAATGCCATCGATCTCTTCTTCTCCTGCATCGATGGCAACCAGCCACCCAAAGTGTTTGTTGCTCACAGCAAGCACATCATCCTCCTGGGCCACAAGCTGGTGTTCGTAGGCGACACGCTCCACCACAACCTTCACAGCCTGGAGGTGAAGAACCGCATCATCCACCACAGCGACTCCCTCTGCGACTGCCTCAACGTGAGCGTCAGTGCCACCAAGAACGCGGCCCTCCAGTTCCCTGCGGTACAGCCTCTGCAGGAGATGGTGGACAGGATCACCGATGTTGCTTCCTGCAGCCGAGATCTCAAGGAAATCATTCTGATCAACACTCCTGCATGATGTCAGCATGGAGGCTGGAACAACAACCGATTGAAACGTTCTTGACCTTCAGAAACAGTTCTGTCCAAACAAAGCGTGTGGATACAATATGAATAATATCTATATGATTAGCTAGGAAAAACGTTTGTACAATCAGAGCTGCTTGTAGCCACATCAACGAGAGAAGTAAACGCGTTCAGCTTCAGTCAAATCAGAAGCCCTTGAGCTTTATCGGTGACACATGTATTGGAAGGTGAAAGGACACTTTTCAGTGTGGATCATTATTGCTGGTACACCTTTCTCCAATCTTGTTAATACCTACATAAAGGACGTGATTGAAGTCTTCTATAATAGAAGTAGTGTGTCATTTTTTATGATAATATTTGTTGTGCATTAATGAAAGTCGATACTTACAAGACAAACTCCCAAAACAAACAATATACTAATCTTCTAAGAAAGGAGGACATCTGTATAATACGCTTGGCATGGGTGTGCATGGATGCTTGTGAAGAAATCTGCTTGTGTATTTATATGATGTTTGCAAGAGGCCCAGAAGGCATCACTGTCTATAAAGACAACTGCCACGACCAGTTGTAACACAGGTAGTTCACTTTTGCTTTTTTATAATGCATGGTGCATGGTTGAGGCAGTGAACTACTCTAGTACAATGCAATCACTTGGTCAACTCATGAGCTCTCGTAGGTTTCTTTCAAAGCACAACATATACAAATTTATCCAGCAGATAGTCATTCAAGTCTGAAGATAGAATAAATGTGCAGTATGTAGCCTAAATACCATTCTTATTTAAACCCAATGATAAAGTTAACCATTCTTAACAAGTTACAAATAGTTTTAGGTTTGTTTTTTCAATCACTCTTTTGGCTTTGCAGAACAGTTTACAAGCATGGTTGTTTCATTACTTGAAGTATTATATCTCTTGTTTTTTTTTTAAATATTCTAAACTGTACAGAGAACAACGATAAGCTGTGCTGGTCACAATTTTGCTATTTCTCTTTGATGAAGTTTTGATATTAATAATCCCTTTTCTAATGTTGATTATGTGATTGGAATGTTCATTTTTGCATTGGTTTGGTGCTGCATGTCAGTTTCTACTATATATAATATTGAAAGTGTGGAATGTCACAATAATTATACATGGTATTTTGTACAGCATATGCAAACCTCATTTGTGAAACATCAACAACTTTTCTTGGATTACTTAATTTTGTAACTAGTTCAGAAAATAGGAGAGATTTAAGAAAGATAAATGGTGTTTGTTGAAGAAGGCGAAGAAAACAAATTTATATGACAACTTTACCAGTGTCCTTCATGATATGGACAGTTCTTTTTTCTCATAAAATATTACTACAGGTGTGAATACATTTTAACATCCAATCTGTTGGAAGAAATGACAAGTTGGATGGATTAGAAAGTTCTAAAGTAATGGAATCGTCTTCTTTTACATGACTAGAACAAGGACAATAGTTGTTAGGTAATGGTTATTAGATATCATCAAGGGTGCTTGAGACAAGCAGAATTAAAGGGAGGGAGTGTCATCATGGCGCAAATGTCAGTAACCCCTCGTTAGAGGGAAAATGCTGGCTTAAATAAATAAATGATGATGATGATGATAATAAGATGTAGTTCAAAATTTTACTAACCTTATAATTTACTGGGCAAGCTAAGGATAAATCCTTTGTTGTAAAGCCTTTAAGGGACTCTGGCTATTCATTGGTCACCTATCCTGGCTCATGTGATCTCGAGGCAGCACACAGCAAGAAACTGTGAATAATCATTTGGCTTGAGAAAGTCCACAGGAGTGTCCAAAGACATGCCTAGACTAAATTGTAAGGTTGGTAGATGGTTAAACTACATCCTATGAAAGTTTTCTGTATGAAGATGATGATGATTAGTGATAGTGATTCATTAGGAGAGGCTTGCTGTGATACACGTTTGTAAATAGTGAAGCCTACAGGTATAGGAAGATGGTAAAGTTAATATGTAATTTTCAATTGTTTAATTTATTGTTTTATATATATTTTATGAGGATTGTTTCTCTATTTTTCTCTTTCATATTTTGTAAAGATAATTTATATATGATACGGATTTCAGACAGCATTGTGTTGTACAGAACATTTCTGCATTAAGTAGAAGTTTTGGTTTGCGACCAAAAGTTAGTATTTTCACTTTCGCATTCCAAAAGTTTGAAAGAAGAGGTGTACATTTTTTGGAGGACTGGGTTTGCTTCAGGAATCAGAGCTTCACGTAAATTGCTGCAAAATGTCATATTCCAAAATGAAACGTTAAAATCGGTCAGGAACATGAGGAAAATATTATTCATACAGAGTGCTTTGGTAGAAAATTTCACATTTTAGGCTGAAATTGCAACGGTTTTCATATCAATTCTTCTCTGTTTAGTGGGATTTAACTTTTATGATTGGAAGAGAAAGTGAAGGAGTACGTTGTGCTGGACAAAAATATGCTAGCTATATTTGATGTTAGCTCATTTACTTTAACACAGAGATAACGCCCCTTCTGCCTCCGAATAGATGGAACGTGGTTGACACTTGACCTCTGGTCACATGGTACACCGAGAATCATGGGGATACGTACGGACCAGATTGATTCATCTACTGGGTTTACTTTTTAACTTTACAATCTAAACAATATCACCATGGGTACCAAACTTCAATTCCTATGCTCTCCACTAGTGATATGTGGTACATATTTGAATAGTTGTAGACATTTGTATCGTCTTTCCTTCGCTTGCCATGATAAGCTGTATCGTTTGCCAGACCAGCAATTAGTTTTGCACATATTTGTTTCCCCTCATATTTATTCGTCTGTACTTGGAACTGGTGGAGGGGAAAGAGAACAAACAATAACAACCAGCTCCTTTACACTCTTAACTTGACCTTATACAATCATATTACAATGCAGGCATTTTTTTTTAATCACAAATTTTCTTAGAGATTCTTGATAACAGTTGGAGTTGAAAACAAATTGTTTAATCCTGAGATTTTAGTGAAATATATACTGACTAAATTATGATGAAACAAAGACAATGTTTCTAGAACGATTAAAACCACTGCCCTGAATCCCTGATTACTTTTAATTTATTAAACTTAAACCATATCTGTTGGGCAATTGCAATTTCTTGAGACAAGTTTAAACTCCTTAAAAATCTGTTTACATCTTAGGCCCTTAATTCCTTCTAATTGTACTTCTCTCTTTGAATTTATGACACATTTTGAAACAGTAATAGTGATCGAGAGTTGAGTTAAAAACCCAATCATTAAAAACCCTTTTTCAGAACTGTTTCATTTGTATTTAACAATGAATTTTGACTATCTTATACTGACATGGTATTTTTGCTTAAATTTCAGCTAACTGTGTTTGATAAATAACAAAAGCAATGATGATACTTTTGATTGGGGAAAGTTTGATTGAAGATATGTATTTCTTTGACTGGTGAGATTTTTGTCACTATAATATATATTCTATAACTTGAAATCTTTTTTGCTACAACTATTTATTTGCCTTTCATTTCATGAGCTTTTTTAAAATCAAGGAATGTGAAACTTGAAAGGCACAGAAGATATCTTAATGTGTACATACATATTTGTGTGTATGAGCTTTCCATGTATAAAGACGATTAAGTGTATTCATTTCTTTTTGAGATTTGGCCAACTACAACGCTAGGTGTTTAGCTGAAGATTATGTCTTTAAAATATTCATCTTTTATAACTCTGGAATGATTAAATGAATTCTACTTAAGAAAAGCATATTATGTACTTAAAAGATGAAAGTACAGGAGGATATGATATGGAAGGTTTGTTTTGTGAATGTGTATGTAGATATAAACTGTGTATGATGTTACATCAATAAACAGATATTATTAATGAAGAATGTTTCTCGTCAGCTTTACATATGGTGTGATGTTTAATCAAATTGTTTAATTTAATGGTTGAGAAATATAGATAGAATAAAAGTAATGAAAAGAGAGAACAGGAAAGAGGGAAGGGAGAGCATTGGAAGAACGTTAAAAGGGTAGAGAGAAAGAGATAGATGGACAATGGTGGATGAAGAGAAAGTAAAATTGAGGGGAGAATAAGGAAGAAAAGAGAAAAAGAAAGGAAAGTGATAGGAGAGAGAGAGAGAGAGAGAGAGCGGGTGGAGGAAGGGAGAGAGAGGGGGAAGGAGGACATGTGAAAAGAGGAATTGGACAAACTGATGAAGTATAAGGAGGGGGAAAGAAGTGTCGGTGAATTCAGAGAGTGTTGGAGAAAGAATGAAAAGGAGTCACATATATGAATAAAAATAAAAAGGGGCAAGAGAGATAAAGGAATTATCAATAAGACAGCAGAAACATGCATAAGCAATGAATAGAGATAAAAAGATCAACAATATAGAACAAAAAGATAGGTAATCAAATAGTATAAGAAAATAATAATATTGCATGGATGAAAAAAGAGGAAGCATACAAGCTGTCTACGGAAAGAGAGTGGGGGCAATGATTTACATGCGTGTGAATGAGTAACCTCTGGGCAAAAAACGTCAATATACTACGCTCTGAATGAACATCGGGGCTGGAAGTCGACACATTCCGGAACTGGAACTCGGTCAACGACTTCGCCACGGGTTAATCTCGTAAGTGGTCAGAACTCAGAAAGATATTAATGAAACCTCACACTCGGTGTTCACAGGGCCGTAAACATAAAAATCACTACCTCAGACCAATTTCATTGAGTAATGATTTCACACCTCGACTCCAGTTCCATGAATGTTCTGATATGTGTTCTCTGACAAGACCAATGGGAATATGTTCTAGCATATACATCTATAAAGGCCTATTGTGTAAGTTCATATTGTACAATGGATATTAAAACCTGCAATCCTTAAATTTGCCAAAGATTGTTAGAATCCTTTTTAGTTTAAAGATATTTCATTCGGAATTAAGTTAAGCTCATCAATCCTTCAATTATGAGGCAAGTTAAAAGTGATAAGAAAAAAATCAACAACAAAAAAATTAATCAAAATTTCCAACGTTTTAAAAGGCTGTATCTATTAATTTGTTTAATTTATAGGGTAAAATAAATGTAGATCATAACTAAAATAGAATGAATGAATATAAGAGAATTCAGAGAATTAGGAAGAGGCTCATGTACATGGTGCTGTAGGGATGGCTGAAAGGTAAAGTAATTTTTGCTCATTCTATGTGTAATGTAGCAATATTGACACAAAATGACTTCACTAACATCATGAATAAAACATAAACATGACGATGTTCCTCCACTTACATTAATGAAAATCTGGCAACCTTTCTATCCTCTTGTCATTTTGTTTCAGCAGTTAAGTGACATTTTTTTAGATGGGTCATTGCCCAAAGCATCACTTGTTCCCATTCTTCTGTGTGAAAGGTAACAATTTATGCCCCCAAATGAAATGCTCCCCCACTATCCCCCAGTGTCTCACTTTTATATGCCACTGGACAAGACACTCTGATTAATTGGTTTCTTGCTCTTGTCTTATGGCTAATAAGCTCAAACATGGCATCATTTATAAAAACCCTATACCAAAGAAATTTTGAAGAACAAATCTTAATTAGGGGGAGGGGATTGAACCCTCTCAGAACCCTCTGTAGGTACCTGTTTCATCAATATTTTCTTATACTGTACTTTTTTAAAAATGTATATATTGTTTTATTATCAATTCTAACTTTTTAATCTAATCTTAAGGTGGGGTGAATTTTTATACTCAGGAACATATTCCAATTGTTTTAAATGAGTTGTAGTCTTTTTATGTTTTGTTTCGTTTATTTATAAAATCTGGGTTTGCAGTAAGACAGTAAAAAATATTGATTGCACCTTTAAACTGATAGTCTCATGCATGAACAGTTGTAAGTAAACGATGGACAAGCCCTAAAAGAAAGACAGAAAGGAAAGTAAAGGAAAACATTAATTAATTAAAATGTATTACAAATCTGCAAAATGGTAGAGTATCACTTTAAAAAACAATTATTTCCTTCAATTCAGAAATAAAACCTAAATTTGCATTACCTTTTCCATGCAAGGCTAAATTACTATCAAGTTTACTTTTTCATGAGTAAATTTTCCTCATTGAGTTTAAATAGAAATATCATGTTGTTATGCCTTTTTGTCTTCACTGCATATGTTTCATTGCTAATAACAACTGAGGCATTTTGTTTGTCATGGTCATGGTCTTTGACAGATAAGAAATAAATAACGATCTACTTCAAAGACCACAAGTAAATGGATCATTTGAAGACATATCACAGACACCATTAAAAAAGAATCATCATATTTTGTGTATCGGGTGACACAATGTTATTCTGAGAAGTTAGAACATTCCAGAACAGTTATCCATTCGATACATGTATGATGGAAAATATTGACCTGGGCAGGGCAACATGACTAACAAAATATATATGTGTAGACATTCTCATTATCTCAAGGGAATCAACAATTTAATTTCCAAGTCAATGGATTCAGAGGTAATGAAAAATCAACTCTGTTCAAAATTCGAGTTATTTTGATGCATTTGGCCCAAGAAACCACTCCTTATTAAAGTATTTGGAATGCTTTATTAAGTTTATAATAGGAGGTACACTGTATGTGCAGATTTTTTTTTAGAGAGAGTAAAAGGAGATATGAAAAGTAAAGAAAAGGAAAAGAAATAACAATTTCTGATGGAATTGAAGAGTGAAAGAAGGGAGATGCATACAGAGACAAAGAGAGAAGTAAATAAAAGGAGGTAAATTGAGATTGAGAGGGGAGGGAGAGACACACTCACAAAGAAAAGAGAGAGAGAGAGGGGGGAGGGTCCAATTCTTTAACATGCAAGTACACAAAATAAAGCACGATAACACAGGGATTTGACAAATCACTGTTTTTTCATTATAATAATCACATTTCTTAACATTTGTACATATTTCGAATATCATATTTACAATATTACATGTGAAGGAAAAAATAGTAACACATACAATTCAAGAACTGAATATTTTAGCCCCAAATATATACGAAGAAAGGTCTTTATCTCCCATATTTCTTCACACTGCATAGAATTTAATATTAAATGGCAAAACATAGCATACTATCAACAACAAAAATAATAACTTGTTAATCAGCAATCATTAACATCTTTGCTGTCAGCCAATATCAAACACATTTCACTGAATAATGAACAAAGTCATTCAAATGACATCACATGAATAATTATAATATTCTTATTATACTAAATTAGCAACATATGTCATGCATTTGTGTGCTGTGAAAATATAACTGTAAATACAATTTTATTAAAATGAGTAGCCAAAGGCATCAGAGGACTTGTATGGACTTGCAACTTATCTAGTTCTCAAGCAACATCAGCTTTCTTTCCAGTGATTTCTTTCCAATGCACAAAGACTGCTTAAATACATCAATTACTGTCAAATAGCAATAGAACAATCAACTTTATGAGCACAAAGCAAGTACCGGTACATTTTTTGCATAATTCACCCGGTCACTGAATCATAAATGTAGCACTTATCTCAATGATTCAGCATCTCATATTCTCTGGCTTTGTATGAGTATTCAGTTCACAAGTTCAAGGGTATCTTAATCTCGTCTTGTCTAGGCGTTTCTTAATGAGATAAGACAAGTGCTCATACCACAGATATTAATTCATCGCTGTCAAAAACTTCAAAGGCAGTATCGAGAGTTGGGATGAATTTAAAGAAAATTGAAATTCTTTTAATGTAGAATACTTGCATTTTTGCAGATTCCAACAAGTCCACACTGAATGTTGAGAACTACACACAGTACATTTCAGTCAGACAATATTTAACGATGTAAAGATAGAAAGAAGAGACATACAAATGAGGACCCATGAATTACCTAGTCCCAAATGTGCAAATCTACGTTGGGACTTTTCATTATCGGTATACAATTTTTCAGTTAGTTTTCATTATTTTTTCTAGTCTCAACAACTAAGTTACTGCTCTATTAATACATGTATTATCAATTTAGGCACTTTTTTCTCTCTCAAAATGCATTATCAGGACGAAAACTGAAGATTATCCTTAAAGATGAAGTCGAGTTCTGGTCATGCGATTGCATTGTGAAAGAAACGGTGTGGAACCGACCAGAAAAGGTTGATCATCTAGCATATAAGAATTTGTGTGTATTGCAAGGTTCTGGAATCATCAAAATGATAAGAAATTTGGCCAAGTCTTGGTAAAGTTACAAACACTTGCACAGAAAGATGTATATGGGACTACACGAACATGTGGCATAAAAAGCCGCCCCCCCCCCCCCACCCTGATTTTTACGATGTTACATGCATATTTAGAATATGAAGGCATTTGAAGAGCCATGCTTTTCAGGGAACATGTCTTAATAACTGATGTTCTTCCACACTTGCATAATAAGAATGAGTATTAATGGCTCACAAATTATTTTTCACCTCTTCCCAGAACTCAACCTTCTCTTTAAGCAGTTGACATCGTTTAATCAGGGTACACCTCCCTGGTTTAGTGGTGAAGTATTGTCTGGTTACTAACTGTGGAGGCTTGTCATGTGAAAAGGGTTCCTAGGGCAACAGTGAAAAATGATATGGGCGCCACTTAGCCATGTGCAAACATACTTTGTCATGACAATATGACACTGTGTCTGTTTGACAAGGGGCCTATAATTGACACCCCGTCTTTTGGGGGGTGGGGGAATGGTTTGACTGCTATAAGAGGTCTTGTCCGAGACTTATCTGAATCACTTCAATTTCTTTCAACCTCTCCAAAGGTGTGTTTCAAGCCTATTTTCACCTTTATAAAGCAATGGGAAATAGTCATTTTCTATTCGTGAACATGTGAGAAAATAATAAAAAGAAAAAGTACAAATTTCAAG